CCCTATTAAGAAACGGCCCTGGACGCCGGTGAGAAAACCGAGCATGACGCTGACGCTGCCGCCGACTCCAGTCACGCCGGGCGATGGGCGAGCGAAAAGGGCAGAGAGTCCCATGAGGCCTTCAACTGAAGAAAACTGTACAGCGGAGCCCACGAAACCGTCACCCGAAGAAGTGACGGAACAGGAGAATACCGAAGCTACCGGAGAGCCACAACAGCAAGACGAATCACCGACAGCCCAAGCCCCTGCCCGCCCGAAGGTGGCCGAACTCCGAGGCTTCTACTCCAGCCGTTGCGTGACCGCTCCTCCCCACCTGATGCTAGAGTCCGGTCCTCAACCATCCGAGGCTGAAGAGCCCGCGCCGACTGAGCAGAAGGCAGACTCGCCCGAATCACAGAACACATTTCACAGTTCTCAGTCGTTCTTGGCAACGCCGCCACTCCCACCATCACCACCCCAGTCAGTCCCGCAGTCGCCAGTGGGATCCCCATGCGCCCAAGACGATGAACAGGATCACACAAACCCTGAAGACCGCTCTGACATAACTGTTGCATCCACTCTATCACAGGAGCCATGGTCCGTGAGCCCAACAACATCAGCTCTCTCTGAGAGCAGCGAATGTGCAACCGCTCTCTCGTCGGTCTGCGACGTAGAATACCCGTCCCCTTGCGACGAAGCAACTCCAATTTATGAAGAACCAGCGGCCGCAGAACCAATCACACCCTCGGAGACGCTTCAGGAGGACCACCCTCTCAGATCTTCCATCTCCAACCTCTCCCTTTCCTCCTCCCTCTCCCGCTCCTCCTCTACCTCCACCACCCGCCGGCCCAACATCCGTCACCGCGCCACCACCAGCTCCTCGATCTCCCCCTCCCGGCGCGCTCTCTCCCCTTTGCCGCCAGCTGTCAACCTCTTCTCTCCTCGGCCCACGTTCAAGCCGAACAACGCTAAAAACACGCTCGCCGTCGTCCGCAGACTTCCCATGGCCGTAATCCAAAAAACCTGCGAAATTCTCATGTCACCCCCATCCCATCTCATCAGCTTGATGCTCAACGTTGCAGCGCGCATCGCAGCAGGGGAATGGCGTGGCTTAGTATTCGGTGTGGACGAGCGAGGGGAACAGATACCAGTGCAATGGGACTGGTCCGAGGAGGAAGACAATGCCCATCAGCCATCATACCTCACCGGTGGTATGGGGAGATTCATCGATGAGGACTGGCCTCCCAGGGGTGCTGCCGGAAGGAGGATGGCAGGAAGCTTCCCCGAGTCAGACGACGAGGAGGAATGGAATACAAATGGAAACGGTAGCGAGGGCGAGGAAAAAGGGGAATCGGATTGGAGTAGAAGTTTGGGGGTTGATTAGGTGTTTGTTCCTTCACCCGAGCATTGGCGCTAATGTTGCAGCCTTGTGTCGTGAATGTTGAAGGGGCGAGTGTACTATTATTTCTTTTACATGTATCATTACGGGGACAGGATGGACTGGACGGATCCGGTCATCATTTCTCACTCTCGCTTGGAGTTGACGGTTAGGTTCTTGGTTTGGTTGGCTGGCGGGTTGGCAGGTATGGTCTCCGGTCTGGTGCATTGTGCTGTGTTGGCTTTTGGGTGTTGCTGTCGCTATTTCCGTTACGGGGAGTACCATCATTGTACATGAGGACCGGATGGCTTAACTTGTTATGTATCAGTTATGATGGGGGTGGAATTGGACTGGCGGGAAATGAAGACGTTGGATAAGTAGTAGCTGTGTAGTTGCATGTACATATTCCGGAGAGTGCCGACTGGCAAGAGGGCCAAGGATGAGGACAGAACAGAATGGAGTGGTGTTGCCCCTCATTCGGGAATGTAGTTGATGTGAGTGAGCCCCTAGATACACATTGATCAAACGATTATGCACCTAGCAGAGAAGGCCAAGTACCGCTGAATAGTATAGCATTACTATCTTTCACTCTACCTTGATGATTACTCCATCTGCTGATCTAGCAATTCCTACTACCATGCAAACGACGCTGCCCATTCTGTCATTCTCAAAAACCCCTGTGCACAGATTGCACCGCCATCTCCGCCATTGGTGCTATTCTCACCTTTTGAGAGGTGAGTCGGGCCATACATACTACATAGGGTCCATACGGGGATCGCGACGGTCGTCGTCTGGTGCCTCCGGAGAGCCACCCATCGAAACGCCCGAGTCAGAGGCTTGATCTCCTCCACGTTGGCTCAATGTATCGAAGACGGCCGCGCGCCCGTCAATACATCCTTCGTGGGGCGAGGATTCCGCATTCGGTGCGGATGAGCTGTTATTGTCTCTCTCCCTCTCCTTTGCCAATCTTGAGAATGATTTAACTGAAGCCCACGACAAGGCCTCCAATGAGCCTTGAACAAGACAGAGCGTGGTTTGCGCAGGTTGCTCCGCCGTGGATTCAGACCTTGTTTCTGTTGCCGGTACTCTGAATGCCCCGATCTCAGCTTTAATTCTCTCTTCCGCCAATCTCTTCCAGGAATCCGTAACCTTCGTTGGCGAGGGAGCCAGCTCCTGGCTGGAACTCTCCCCCGCCACGTCACCAGAAGAGGCCGACGGCACATACTCAGATGCTTTCTTCTGCACCGAACGGATCATAGCATTGAACCTGCCGACTGCTTCGTCAGGGGGCCTTGGCAGCGAAGGGTCCGTCGAGCTCGTCGGGGATGAACTCCGCGTGTCTGAAGTGTTCTCTGCTGGCCTGTTGGGGTCCAACTGGACGGCGTTTGACGGTCTTCCCGAATTTACCACGGTGTGTGAACCCGCACCCGGTACGAACTCTTTTGCCTGGGCCGAAAACCCAAACGTATTCTGTGGTGCCACAGAGGTCGTGGGAGGTAGCAGTTGCCTAACAGGGTGGAAACGGGCCCGGGGAACGAACTCATTTGCTGTGGCGGACAACCCACAGACAGGTTCATGGGGGGCTTCTCTGGGGTTCAAGAGGTCCGGATTGAGACCGCCCTCGGGAAGAATGATGGCGCGCCTCGGAGGAGTACTGGCAAGACTGCTGAACGACATCCTCTTGGAAACCGTCCTGTCGTCTTGTGATGGTGGGCTGCCTGTCACTGGTGGAATTGTGTATGCGTTGCCGGCCTTTGCAGCGGGGGTTTCAGGGCTGATAGACTGGGACATTGGCTTCTTTCCCTTGCGGCGAAGGCTAGACCTGGGCTCAGCGCCCAGGGTCGTCGGAGATGCCTCGAGTGGCTGTTCTGTGTCGTCTTTTACTGGAAGCACCGAAATGATTTTGAAACTTCGCTGCGAGATGCAAGAGGTGACTGCTGAATTTGCTGCGATCTCTCCTTTGCATTCGGGTTGGTCTCCAGACATCGGCCCAAGTGGTTTTGTATCGGATTTTAAGGGGTTTGTGGATGACTTCTTTGAACGACACTTTCCACCCATTGTTTCGTTTGTCAAAAAATTAGCTAGGAATAACAGATGGGATGATGTTGTGGGGTGGAGCGATGAAGTTGAGGCTTGGGTACTTGGATGGAAGAGATTGGTGAAAGTCGGAAGTTTTCCAGTACTACATGTCTCTTTTGGAGGCTGGGATGTCTCTTTATGGGAAAGAACGACCAACGAAGGTTTAAGAATGCAGTTCCAGTGAGTTAGGTTTGTGCCTTCCCCAGGCAGAGCTTCTGTCTTGCTTTCCCTAGAACCTTGCTAGGTAGGTTCACAACTAACCTACAACCTGAGTGTGCTTATTCACGACACAGTCAGGAAGGTACGGATAGGTAGATGCGCAAGACACAAGAAAACTTAGCCAGCCTTGTTTCGTTGTTTTAGGTTCACAACCGTCTTTCTCATCTACCATTCTTCGTGATAGCTCGCGCGTTTGCATTAACCAAAACTGAGACACATCATTCACATAAAATAAAGGGCGTTTTGATGGCAAGTTGATGGCAGTTTGTTGTGAAAGCCCACCAAAACACTGCACCTGCCGCTGTGTCAGTCCCAGAGATAAATATCCCACCCTTTCGCCTCCTTAAACCCAAACCCAACCATCCACAACCCAACCCAAAAAGCCACCCGCCTCAGCTGAACTCGAACCCAAAAATCCAAACACCACAAGCTGGCATACTCTCTCCATCTCTCGTAATGGAGTCCCCCGCCAACACCACAACCACAGACAACAACTCGAACGCTACCAAGGCCACAACTACGAACACCAGCCCCCCACCCTCCCCCACCCTCAGCCACTCACGCGCCTCATCTCCCTCCTCCGCCTCCTCCCTCCCCCCCTCAGGCCTCCTCGTCAAAAAACTCTACCTCATCTGCATGTGCGCCGACCCCGACTGCACCAACCTCGTGTGGTCCTCATCTCCTACTTCCGAGGAGCTCTGGCCTCCGCAGCCGACCCCTCCCCCGTCAACCGTCTCCGACTCGGGACTCTCCAACCTCGACCTGGATCTCGACTACGAGCTAGAGGAGTACGGCCTTCTCCACCGTCATTGCAACGACGGGGCGGGACCGGCACCGGAAGCTACGTGGAAGACGCATGATGTGGTGGTGAGGAGCGAGGCGTTTAAGAATGTGATTAGCACAGTGATGGGAGATCATTCGGGATGGGATGCTGGAAGGTTTGAGGGAGAGGATGAATGGGTTTTGAGAGGGGAGGACTTTGGCATGTTGGAGGATCGGTGGGGTGAGTTTGAAGAGTATTCAGAGGGCGGTCATGAGGATTCGGAGGCGGCGGGGGGGCTTTTGGAGGTGCTGGAGGCGTTGTTGTGAGTGTGGGTTAGGATTGGGCTGGCTTAGGGGACATTTTGGTTGGGGTTGGGAGTATTAGCGTTTTCAGGGGTTTAGGAGGACAATATTTTCGGAGCGACTTGGATGGACGTTGATGTGGCAACTTCTGGGAAACTAGGCAGCATGGTCGACAATTAGGGCATAGCTATGGAAATTGGCTTGAGGATAACGCAAAACAAGGATGCATCGCTGGATATCTTGCGGTATGCCAGGGCGACAAAAACAAAAATGGAGAAGTCGACGTGGGCCCGGTTCGAACGGACGCTCCCGAAGGAACAAGATCTCTCGGTAAATTCAAGTCTTGCGCATTAGACCACTCTGCCACCACGCCTGATTTGTCACAACTTGCCACATAGATCTCCCTATGTTTGCTTGGCGCTGCCCGCAAGCAAACTTCAACCACCACAACCAGTTTACCATGATAACAGGAAAGATTTGTTGGGCAGAGAAGTGCCCATTCATATTTTTGCTCACTCTGCCCCTCAATGCGCGCTGAAGTGACGTGGGACACCCTCCCGACTCTCTGTGACACCCAGACCTCTGCCCCTCAACGTGACTAAACCGTTTCCCATCCCAAACGCCTTGCTGATGATGATACGAAGAATCGCGCCCATCGCTCTCCTGGCAGACCCAATCCATGTCTCAAATGAGACCTCACTTGGTCAATTTCGTCTCCACCACACGCCTCTGCTTCTCCGGCGCGAACATCGCCGTCCCCTGCTGCAGAGCGTTTACCAGCACGTGGATCGCATCGTTCTTGAAGTCGTCTGCCGTGCGCACCTTGTCCAGGTCTTCTGCAAATTCCTTGGTCGCGCGTTGGAGGTAGTAGGATGTGAATTCGGAGGAGACTTCCTTGTCTGTCTTGCGGGGTTGGGGGTCAGACATTTTGGTGGTGTTTTTTTCCCCGAGAATTCTCTCTAGTGAGGTTCTTTTTTCCTTCCGGTATGCCGTTTTATTTTTATTCTTGTGAGGCAGATTTGGTGTGAAGTCTCACTGAGCTTCCATTCTCGATAGAAAAATTGCTGCGCTGAGGAAGACCCGCGGAATGGCCCCCGCAGTGGGTCGTGCTGAGAACGCCACTGAAAGATGGCGTGGGGGCCGCTACCGTTGCTTCGGGATTTCACCGAACATCACCTCAACTTCATTTAGCATCATTTCTACTTTCGAACTTGCCATCCGGCGGATGGCTCAATTTGCCTTGCAAACTAATCGTCATCATATGCCTCGAAGCTATCGGAGCTGCGGCAGCCTGAAACAAGCCACCGCCGCCCGTAGATTCAGCGCCATCAACCTTCGCGCCGTTGCCGACGCTATGTTTCTCACACGGGACCTGGCAGTGTCAGAGTATGCACCGTCAGAGCCTCGTCACTGGCAACTGCCTCGTCGCTAACACAGCCCCTGGCATACTCAAGTGATATATGCCATGCTCATTTCCTCGGGATCGACGGTGTCTATTCTACGTTGCCAGCACCGGCCAATGAGAGTTCTTGGCGCCAGCTACCCATTTGGAGTCCCAATAAGACGCACGATATCGAACAGGAGACCAGCATGCCACGCGCACTCTGTAAAAGATTCCTCCCCGCTTATTGGCCGTTTTCCAGCTTGGGTTCTGCCCCACGACAATGCCTTCCCAAACGGGCCGTGCACCGTATTCAGGAAGGCAATGCGATTGGTCGCCTTCCACGGGAATCGTCAGAGGCTCCCGTGGCTCAACATCGATCTTCGAACCCGAGGATTGCGAGATACGTAAAGCCCGAGAGACTTGGATATGGGAGGTATATATATGCTGAATGGGTTAACAAGTCATGATGGAGTCTCCAAAAGGAACCTCGAGGCTTGCAGGAAGAAAGATACACTCGCAACACCACTGGGCAGCACGAAAAGCACTTCGATAATACTTGACACGCTTCTGCCGATCTCTGGAAATAGCTGAGAGTCATGGGGGGTGAATACGGTAAGTCCATGCGCAAAGCCGCAAAATACTTGATCACTGACTTCTTCCAGTCGACGGAAGCATCTACTTCTATGCCCCCAGAAAGGGCGTCGCGGCTTTCTTCGCAATCGCGTTCGCCGCCTCCAGCCTCTACCACGCCTACCAGTGCGTCCACTATGCAAGTTGGCGCATCACAGGCCTCTATGTCGTGTGCGGCATCTTCTTTACGGCTGGCTTCATCGTCCGCGAGATGGGCGCGTTCGACTACTCCGATATCATCAAGTACATCGTCCAAATCTGCCTTATATACGCGGCACCACCCCTTCTCGAACTGGCAAACTATAACATCCTCGGTCGTATCCTCTACTACGCTCCCTATCACTCCCCCATCCACCCGGGGCGTGTAATTACCACCTTCGCTCTCATCTCCGTGGTCATCGAAGCCCTCAACGGTAACGGCGCCGCCCTTGTAGCAAACACCACCCTCCCCGAATGGAAGCAAGAAATCGGCCGCAGCCTTCTCAAAGCCGCCCTCCTAATCCAAATCGCCGTCATCGGTCTCTTTCTCATCCTCGCCTTCACCTTCCACCGCCGCTGCGCCCGCGCGGGGACCCTCAACTCCCGCCTTACCAACGTCCTCTACACCCTCTATGCCTCCACCTTCCTCATCACCACACGCACTATTTTCCGGGTGGTGGAGTACTACTCCATTGCCGACTTCCACTGGGACGATCCCAACATTGATCCCAGCACCTTGAGCCCAATCATCAGATACGAGTGGTTCTTTTACGTCTTTGAAGCAGGACTCATGCTGATTAATCACGTGTTGATGAACGTGAGGCACCCGAGGAAGTATTTGCCCAAGAGCGCGAAGACGTATCTTAAGAGGGATGGGGTTACCGAGGTAACGGGTCCGGGGTATAAGGATGGGAGGAGCTTTATTGTGACGGTGTTGGATCCATTTGGGGTTTGGGGGATGCTCAAGGGGAAGAAGAACGAGCGGTTTTGGGAGGAGGATGAGGACAGTAATGGGAAGGGGAAGACAGAGGGTGTTTAGGGGTGAGAGATAAGTGGAAGGGTTAGGGTCGAGGCTGTGTGAGGTCGAAATGCGAGGTGTGGCTGATGAGGCGTAAGCCCAACGGCTTTGGGGGAGGCGGATATGCTGGCGAAGCGCGGCCGCGCGGGTAATGCTAATGGTTTAAAGGGTTTGATTTTGGGAGAAGGTTTTGGCAGCGGGGGAGGGCGGAATGTTCCGTCATTTAGAGATTTTTGGTTAGATTTTTGAGGTGTCGTTCGTGTTTCTTTTTGGGATTCTTGGATGGCGGTTTGGGGTTGGTTCACGACGGGTTGAAGGAAATCTCTGGCGTCTGATGCTACGATATTAGATCCCAAATAAACAGCTGTGCATTGAGCGATTTGCCATTTAGTCCGGAATATTCGCGGAATATGAATCGCAAAATTATCCTCGCTACCATAACTGTCATGTTGAGGCAGCGCTTCGGCTGATCGACTGGCTGGCGCTGTGCCCTTCCTTCCCCACAGCTGACATCGCATCTTGCATCGGCTCGCAGGAAGCCCAGATCTCACTGCCCGTGGATAGTGGTGGCTGATACCCTTGCACGTGCCCTGCCACCACGGTGCCTGGAAATGTGAAGGAAAGGAAGAAAAAAGAGGTGCTAGGGCAAATAACAGATGTCAGCAGCGATGAGATCATGTTGATTTCGTTTCTTCCGGTGCAGAGCTCATTCGCCGTGCCGTTCCGCCTCCTTCGGGTTCCGCTTCTGGATGTCTTGGAGTCTTGGACAAGATGAAACGGGTAAGCAATATTGTCTGGTGTAACGCTCCTCAACAACACTGGTGGTTTGGATGGGTTGGACTAATGAAAGATGCAGGACGAAAACAAGAGCGACCTCGCTAGGAAAAATTGACACCAAGGCACCAAGATACCTAGAGGCTCCGCGGATCCTCGAATCCTCCTCTTATCCTCTTTAAGTTGAGGCCGAGTTTCTGGAAGATGTTTGCGAGGCTAGCGCGAGGGCGGACACACCCAATTGGAAAGAGCCGATGGGCTGTGAGCTTTCATCTCCCGAGGGTTCCAGTCTGATGCGGGGAAGGGGCGCCCGACAGATGCGAGCCCACAACAAACGAAGAACCGTACGTGGCTCAATCTATCTGCGGCTTCCGCATCTCTGGCAACCGTGGACGGGGATACCGAAGAAAAAACACAACCTAACTGTCTGTTTATTTTCTTTTTGCGAACAATGGAATAGACAGTTCGTGAGCAGGCGGGCACAGACCAGAAGGCTCAGTGACTTTTCGCTGAGGCGCAAGGTCGTATCTGTCTGTGGGTTGTTTCGTTCGTGGTGTTTCTCAAACATCCCCCCCTCGGAGCACACCCTGGTCCTGGCTCGCACACCCACCTTCCCGCGGCTTGGTTCATCAGTGCTGCTGCATGTCGCAACATGCCCCTGTGATATGATAGCCGCCACAGCACGACACGACAGGGACCGAGACGAGCGGCGGAGAGAATCGACCGCACCGCACAGCACGCGCGACGCGCCGTCGACTCGCCGCTCGGAGCTGGTCGCTGTCACCTGTGCCGTTTGAGGTTGGCGCTGATTTGGATGCGGAGTGAAGGGGGTTGACTGCTACGCGCTGATACAGCTCGCCGCCACTCGGCACACCTCCAACGTGCAAGCCTTGACTGACAGCAGGTAGGCTGGTCACTTGTCGGCTCGAGCGCCGAGCCAAGCTGTTGGGGTGGTAGGCGGCGGCGAAAAAGCAGAGGCAGCGAGGTTTGCCATCGCCATTGTGTTGTTGACGGCCTGTCGTTGACGGTGTCGCCTGCAGCGTTTTGAGCTGACAAGGTCTTTGGCTGGACGACAAAAATCCCAGTTTCCTGCATCGTGCAGTGTTGAAATTCGCCACTCTTACGGGGGCGTAGCGCATGCTGGCATTGCTGCTGGCTGTCCTTCAAACCCGGCTCTCTGGCGAGATCCAGGGTCCCGGCACATCTCTCCAGGCTGCGAGATTTCCAGCGAACCAAAATAATCCCTACCTGCGGCGGTGCCGCAGCAGCCCGGACAGCACCTAGCGCGCTGCTCGCACCCGCCGCTCCTGCGCTGTTCCTCCTCGCCATCCTTCACCCGCCATTGACCAATCCCTTATAGAGCGGCCCGTCGCCCCGGACCGTCACGCCTGAGGATCGAAGCCTCGCACTCACCGTCGGCCCCCCCGCCATTAGTATTTTCGGGTGACTCTCGCGGCTTAGACACACTGGAAGCGTTTGCGGCGCTCCCTTGGACCCCAGGGCGGTTATTATTTTTCTGACTGCCTGTCTATTATCAAACTCCTTTTTTTTGGTCGTCGCTTTCACCATATCATCCTCGCCGGTGCCG